AAGTGATGAAAGTCTGAAGAGAAGGGATGAATATGTAGATAAGAAATAAGGATTGAAGGAATAGGTCGGTGAAGAATAAGATCATCTTGTATTCGGTTTGATATTCTTAAACCCTGGAAAATGGGTGCGACGGATACCGTTAAAGTCTCTTAGGTGCTAGAACGGTAACCACAATGAATGTGGATGAGTTTTGAGCTGAAGGTGCTTAGATGTCTTGCACTACATCGTGGGCGTCCTCAAGCTATATCAGGGCCAGTTTCAAAGAAGTGGTCTTGCGAATCGCAGATATGGAAGATGCTTTGTAGATTGCCAAAACATAGGAATTTTTGTATCTCCTTCCTGAAGACCTGCAAATTTTGGATTTCTCTTATTCTGAGAGGCAACCGGTTCCATATGTTCACGTAGACAACTAAGAAGAAACGAGACCGCAGTCTCTTCTTTGCCTTTAGCGGAGTAATGGAATGGCCCCTGTTTCGGAGTCTCGATTCAGACGCGCTCCTTAGTTTAAGACAAGTGATATTACTGTGCAACTTTCTATGAATTAGCTTGTGTAAGAAGCACATGTTAAGGATAATGCGCCTTTGCCATAGGGGCTGAATTTTAAGGTGTTCACACCTTTGTCGGTAATTCAGCGCTTGCTGCGGTGGAGTCAACATCTTCGTAAAGCGTCGTTGAGCTTTCTCAAGCAGAACACGGTCCGACTTACGTAGATTGCTGCATACAAAAGAGCAATATTCTAGATGTGGCCTCACGTGACTCTTATCAAGTTCTAGCCTAGCATCGGCGGTTTCTATGCAACGGCGTATGTGAAACGATTATCCTCTTACCCTTGTGACTTGATAGGCAATTACCGGAAGCCCTTCGAGCTAATCCGCACCACTGGACCCAGAAAACCAGGCGTCAGTGAGACAATCGGATATCGGTCGGGAACGGTAACGTTATTGAGCGCGCGGTAAGCACCACATGGACGCCAGTCACCTGATTTTATGGGCACCACGTGGAGCGGCGACTCCCTGGGACTTTTAGACGGGCGAACGATGCCTAGTTCAAGCATGTGCTCGAATACTGCACGAGCAATTTTCAACTTGTCAGGGTCATTCTTCTGGCTTTGGCATAAGCAGGCGGACCTTTCGTAACGACGTGATGTTTCGCAGCAGCAGTGGCGGATGAAAATGGTTCCATTGCACCAAAGACTTGCGGGAACATGGTATTAAACGTCTGACCGTTAGGTGAGCTTGTTTGGTTGGCGTATACAGGACTGTTTGACTCTATGTCGGTCAAAGTACCTATAACTGCCCGGTTTGTTTGACGATCGAACAGACGACGTTGCTTCGCGTCAACAAGCAAATCGAAGTGTTGCAGAAAGTCAAGGCCAAGAATTGGCGTCTGGACAGCTGCGACGAGAAAGTTCCATTTAAAAGAACGTCGTAGGTTAGAATTAAGCGTGCGCGAGCATTGACCATACACGCGACTGCTAGTGCCGTTTGCTGCGCACAATAAACCGGTCGCCTCTTCGATATCATTAGAATCACGTGGGATAACGCTGACGTCTGCGCCGGTGTCAACGAGATAGCGTACGCCGTACTGCGATCGGTAACGAAGAAAAGGCGACTGGGGCAGCCAGCAACGTCCGTCGCCCCTACTTGCTGGCTGACCCGTTTCCCTGCGTGATGCACTTGAAGGAACAAGGCGGGCGACACGATCTGGCCTGATGACCAAATCGATCATGGTACCATCAATAGCTTTACCTAGGGGTGGTTTCGAACGTGATCTAGGAGGACTGCGACTACTGCAACTATTTCGGCGGTTAGATCCGGATGTGTTAGCTTCTCTAATCGGTTGGCAAGTGCGGTTACTTGCGCTCTTAGTTCTGCTACCCCTGTACTGGAGGTAGACTGAACCTGAAATATTTGGGCGTTGGATTCCCAAAGACGGTCGGCAATATCGGCGAGCTGAGAAAGAGGCGCATGGCTTGCATACAAAGGTTTGCGCAAGTCACGTGGCAGGCAACGAAGCCACATCTCTTTAAGGAAACAGCCGTCACCAGCGAGAGGCTTAGCCAGAGCCTGCATCAGGTGCAGTAACTGAGAAGGCTATCGATCACCTAGCCCGGTTTCGTTAAGAAGTTGCGTAACACGAGCATGGTCTGGTATGCCGAATCGCTTTAGAACTACGGCCTTAAGCTCATCGTAACCTCTCTGATATTCGGGAAGTTCTAAGATGTCATCGAGGTCATCGACGACTTGCGGGGGAAGCGCTGCGACAACGCAGTGAAATCTGACGCTGTCATCGTTTACGCAATTTAAAGAAATATGGACTCTAGCCGGTTAAACCAGGCTTTAGGGTTAGTCTCAAGAAAAGGCGGGATAGGAAAACGGAAGGCACTAACCTGATCGTCAGAAATTGAGAGAATGACCTTCATGGTGAAAAATTAGGGAGCGTGTGAAAGTGAATGCAAGTAGTAAAAAGTAAAATTAGTGGGGTAGACAGAATAAGTTGCCGGATCTGAAAAGCAATATTAGCACCGAACTGACTAAAAATAGTTTTTCGGCGTCACTATTTGTAACGCGAAGATCGTGCGCTATATATCCGGTACTCGACTAGAGAGCCAACAAAAAGCAATAGGTAGAAGAAACAAGAGTGAGCTAGGGAAGAGGTTCATTGGACGGAAGGAGCGTTAGCTATTGCTAAACATAGGGCACCCGGAGAGAGATGGCTAGCGAGAATGTCGTTGGCGTCGAGTGCGTTGACAGAGCGTCATTCGCAGTCGAGTCGCGCGCCAAAGGCGGAGATCGTTTACGTGTTTCCAGCAAACGGGAACCACGTTCCAAAGGGCAAACCGAATAATTCCCTACTACATAAGCAAGCTCTAATTTGAATAGGTTAGAACAGTTTACATAGTCATACGGGGGAATCACCAGGTCGCTACCAGGCCTTTTTATGTCAGGTTGAGCTGGTTACAAAAGTCCCAGCGTGTTCTTGCCTAACTGCAATTAGCATAACGGAGACACAAATCTTCGGGCTATTGCAAGTAGTAAATCTTACCAAAGCTTGAGGACGCCCACGATGTAGTGCAAGATATCTAAGCACCTTGAGCTCAAAACTCATCCACATTCATTGTGGTTACCGTTCTAGCACCTAAGAGACTTTAACAGTATCCGTCGCACCCAGGACGTGGTGGGTTTTCGCCTGGCAAGCGTTCTCCCTATAAAAAGCCACAAGTGTCCGCTTAACAACACTGAGACGTGGCGGATGTGACTCGCCACTGAATAAAGTCACTGCCCACAACTACATACTGGCAAGCGGACCTGAATCCTAATGTAATATTTTCCAGACAAGTTTTCTCTACAAACGGAATGCCCAGCCTGTTTACACTACGCCCACTATAACCCAACTTGTCGTATGTTTTGACGAATTTATACCTCAAGATTAATTTTACAATTTCCAAAGCTTGGACAACTTTCGGCTTATTGCCGATTACATACATAGCAACGTGTTTGTTGCGAAACATAAATTGCTTGTAAACGTTGATCATGCCTGGTCAGGTGTGTCTCGGAAATTCGAGAATATACTATTTATTTATATTTATTTATTTATATTCCAGGGTTTAAGAATATCAAACCGAATACAAGATGATCTTATTCTTCACCGACCTATTCCTTCAATCCTTATTTCTTATCTACATCTTTATTCCTTCTCTTCAGACTTTCATCACTTTTCAACTTCTTGACCACTGGATCCGTGGAAAAATTATTAGGCTTGTAGTGCAACTGAAAACATGCTCTTTCAGTATCTTATAACATTGGATTTTATGGTTGTTTTAACCTTCGAAACGTCCATTTGTTTAACTGACTGCACATCCATGGTCACAAACCGTTTTGGTGAGTTCCACGCTGCACGTTCCTCGCTCTCTCTGATTCGCTTCCTATTCTTGTAGCCTGTACAATATACGTTGGGTTCAGTTGCCTCCGACTTCTATACTGTCGTATTTGACACGTCTTACGTGTCATTGCTTACCGACTAGTATCCCAGGTTCCGCCCAACAATTGGTGACCCCCTGTCAGGAACACGCTGCCCGCCATTTTGCATTTTCATTCTGGTGAGCTCGTTCCAGTGATTTTGTGATTCATTACTTGTGATCATATTGTTTTCTCACCTACCACATTTTTTATCTGCTTTTTGCAATGGATAATCTAGAGGATAAGCCGTCTCCATGCGCGGTTAACGCCGTTCAGCCTGCCATGGTCAATTCGGTTGCATTGGCCCCTCCCCTTTTTGGGAGAATGACCCTTTATTATGGTTTTTACATTTAGAATCCGTATTTTATATTCGTAAGATTTCTTCTGATTTCGCCATGTATAACCAGCTAATATCTTGCCTTCCTTATAGTATATCCTCGCAGGTGAGAGACATCATACTTTGCCCCCCTCTAGTAATGAAATACGAGACACTTAAACAGGCTATTATTCAGCGAATCACGCCTTCTGACAAGGTCCGTCTGCAGCAACTATTTAGTGATCTGCAGCTAGGAGATAGGATGCCCTCAGCCTTGTTGCGCGAAATGCAACAGCTCATCGGCACGTCCAACATGGACGTAGGGATTCTCCGCGAGCTGTGGATGCAACGCCTTCCTGAAAGCACACAGGCTATCCTTGCAGTAGCAAGTGACTTGCCCATCACAGCAATTGCAGATCTAGCAGACCGCGTCATCGAACGGCACCAGCCAGAGACTGAAACCAAAGCACCTAAGCAGCTTTGCGCTGGCGCAACCACAACGACAGGCGCGACTAGCCCTCCGTCGGCAATAGACGCATTATCATTGCAGATAGCGTCGCTTCAGCGCCAGATCAAAGAACTCACCTTAAAACGTAAGCACTGCAACCGCTCTGGATCATCGCACCGTCGCACAAAACCTGATGCCTCAGGTTACTGCTTTTACCACTCGCGTTTCGGTACTAAAGCCCGTAAGTGCGTACAGCCGTGTAGCTACTCCGCTATAGATGATCCGCCACGCCGGGCCTGTAATGGCCACGAACGTCGGCAAAGCCCGAAGTCGTCTCATCTACATTAGGGATTATGACTCCGATACCCAGTTCTTAGTTGATACCGGGGCGGAAGTCAGCGTCATTCCCCCTATGCCAGGTGAGCCTACCGCTTCTCTGTCGACAAGCCTCAGTGCCGCCAATGGCACGCCAATAGCCACCTATGGTCATCGGTCACTTACCCTGGACCTAGGTCTTCGGCGCACGTTCCGCTGGGTATTCACTGTCGCTGCAGTCCCCTTTGCCATCATCGGCATTGACTTTCTCAGGCATTTCGACCTCTTGGTCGATGCGAAACGCCAGATGATAGTCGACACTGCAACAAAACTCAGCGTACGTGGCATCACCGCCGATGTGACATCTATATCCCCGGTCTATGCATTTCCCCAGACCTCGTCAGCCTACGCTAATCTCCTTTCTCAGTATCCCAAGCTCGTTCAGCCAATGAACGCAGCTTTGCCCGTGGCAGCTCAAGTCACGCACCACATACGGACGAATGGCCCACCTGTGTCATGCCGTCCACGCCGACTATCGCCTGAGAAACTAAAGGTAGCTAGGGCGGAGTTTGAGCACATGCTTGAACTTGGAATAATCCGCCCTTCCGACAGCCCTTGGTCCTCGCCCCTGCAGATGGTCCCCAAGAAATCTGGTGACTGGCGCCCTTGCGGTGATTACCGCGCACTCAATCGCCTAACCGTCCCAGATAGGTATCCCATCCCACACATGCAGGACCTTACCGCATGCCTCACAGGTAAGACGATCTTCAGCAAGATCGATCTGGTTCGCGCCTATCACCAGATACCTGTGGAAGACAATGACATTCCTAAAACAGCCGTAATCACTCCTTTCGGTTTGTTTGAATTTTTAAGGATGCCATTTGGACTGTGCAACGCCGCACAAACCTTCCAGCGCTTCATCCACGATGTTACTCGTGGCCTAGACTTCGCATATTCCTACCTCGATGATATCTTAGTAGCCAGTTCATCGGAACAAGAGCACCTCGAGCATCTTCGAGCTCTCTTCCAGCGCTTGACCCAACACGGTGTCACAGTCAACCCGACTAAGTGCGAACTCGGCAAATCAACGGTAGAATTCCTAGGCCACCTCGTTTCATCGTCTGGTATCGAAGTCCTTCCTGATAAGATCCAGGCAATCAAGGACTTCCCAGCTCCGACTTCCTTCAAGCACCTCCGTCGATTTTGTGGTTTGGTCAACTACTATCGACGCTTCATTCCGCGCTGCGCTCAGCTCATGCAGCCACTGACTGACCTACTCAGAGGAAATGAACGTAAGTTCGCTTTCCCTGACACAGCACAGGCAGCCTTCGCCGAGCTCAAGGATGCTATCTCCAACATAGCCCTCCTCGCTCATTCCGAATCGACTGCACCTCTTTCTATTACGACTGATGCCTCAGACGTCGCGGTAGGAGCCGTCCTCCAACAACACGTTGGTGGGCGCTGGCAACCCCTTGGGTTCTTCTCCAAGCGCCTGCAGCCAGCGGAATCCCGCTACAGCACGTTTGGCAGAGAACTGCTGGCCATTTACCTAGCGATACGTCACTTCCGGCACACACTTGAAGGCCGCGCTTTCACGGTCTACACTGACCACAAGCCCCTTATCTTTGCCTTCAACTCTGCTAGCGACAAATACTCACCACGGGAAACAAGACACCTAGACTTTGTCACGCAGTTCACTGCTGACATACGTCATGTCTCAGGTGTCGACAATCCCGTCGCCGACGCTCTCTCACGCGTCAACCTCACTCTGCAGTCTTTGCCTACCGTCGACCTTGCCGCAATGGCATCGGCTCAGGCTCAAGACGAGGATATACAACGCACTCTGCAGTCCACTTCGCTGCATGTGCAACCTGTTCCTCTCCAAACCACGGAAGGAACCATCCTCTGTGACACGTCCACAGGTTGTCCTAGACCTCTCGTGCCCGTCTCCTTCAGACGCACAGTCTTTGACGCACTTCACTCACTGTCACATCCCGGTATCCGTGCATCTTTGAAACTGGTCACCGAACGTTTCGTTTGGCCACGCGTAAACAAAGATGTTCGTACCTGGGCTCGCGCCTGCCTTCAATGCCAGCGCTCTAAAGTACATCGTCACACCCGCAGTCCTCTTGGTTCATTTCCTGCCCCAGACTCTCGGTTCTCGCATGTACACTTAGACCTGGTAGGCCCATTGCCTCCGTCGCGCGGATTCGTATACATTCTGACATGTGTCGACCGCTTCACCAGATGGCCAGAAGCCATTCCCGTAACAGACTGCACAGCTGAGACTGTTATCCGGGCCTTCTTAGATCGGTGGGTATCGCACTACGGATGCCCATCCACGATCACAACTGACCGCGGAACGCCTTTCGAATCTTCACAATTCGATACGTTCTGCAACTTCTTAGGTTGTCGCCGCATCCATACAACAGCGTATCACCCAGCAGCCAACGGGCTAGTTGAACGTTTCCATAGACAGCTTAAAGCCTCGCTCTGCGCCTCCTCCGACCCTAGCTGGAGCGAAAACATTTCGCTCGTACTCTTAGGCATTCGCAGCAGCATCAAAGCTGACTTGCAATGTGCACCAGCAGAGTTGGTTTACGGAACGACGCTCAAGTTACCAGGAGAATTCGTTTCACCTCCCGCATCATCGGGTATGCCTCCGCCTAACTTTGCGTCCTCCCTAGCTCAGCGCATGCGTTCACTACGCCCGACCCCGCCCCGTGAACAGACTAGAGATGTGCAAATGCACAGCGGACTCTCTACCTGCACTCACGTCTTCCTCCGCACCGACGCAGTGCGGCGCCCTCTCCAGCCTCCCTACACTGGCCCTTTCAGAGTTCTACAACGGACTCCGAAACATTTTACTATAGACCAGAATGGTCACCGAACAACGGTGTCCATCGACCGCCTCAAAGTGGCTTTCTTTGACGAGCCACTTGCAGCTCATCCTGATGCTCTCTCACAAGCACCCGCACCTGTGGTGACTTCCCGAGCACTGGATAACCCGGATCCCTCCGTACCCCTTGACCCGCAACCTATCCCGCCTCAACCCCAGGCAACCGACCGACGCGGTAGACAGGTCAAACGTCCGGTCCGTTTTTCTGATTTTGTAAGCGTTTGCTATTTCCATTAACACGCCTTTTTCGTATTTAATGGTTATCCTGCGTCTCACCCACAAACGTTTTGCAAAATCGACAAAAAATACCCAAAACATTTTGAAAACTTAAAAAGCGTATTTGCTTTGTATCATGCATGCCATGTCCCTCTCCGGCGTCAAGCCACTTCCCAGACCCTTGCCAACCCCCTCTGAGTTCTATCTTCCAGAAACTCAACCGCCGGAACTGCCCAGGCAACCCTCGAGTGACTCGCCAACCGGCTCAACACAACCCTGGAGTGACTCGCCAGCCGTCCCACAGCCCCCATCCTCACCCCATTCCCCGCCCTCGATCGCAGACACCCGCGAAGGATTGGTCCCTAAACGCCGCCTAGGCATTGCCGACGAGGACGCCGGATTTCTTCGTGGGACGAGGACGCCCCGCATTCCTTCGTGGGACGAGCACGCCTGGATTTCTTCGTGGGACGAGGACCGTGGACTAAAGTGCGGTGGGGGGAGTGACACCTCCCAAGCGCACCGTCGGGTCTGCAGCAATGGGAAGGTCCTGTCGGCCTTTTTTCTGGACTAGCCAGTTTTTTTTGCAGTCCGACCAGCCCGCCCCGACGGCCCACCGATGATGCACTCTGGTCCACACGATCGTCATAAATAAAACTAACAAAAGCCTGGACCCAGCGAAATCTGCTACACCCCACTTTGGAAGCCATTCTCAAGCCCCTGCAAACATTCGCATCCACCCTCACCTTCCGTTCCCCCCACTAACAGCTCCATCGAAGGCTTCCATCCTTCAGCCTTCTAGGGGGAGGCCCTTGTAGTGCAACTGAAAACATGCTCTTTCAGTATCTTATAACATTGGATTTTATGGTTGTTTTAACCTTCGAAACGTCCATTTGTTTAACTGACTGCACATCCATGGTCACAAACCGTTTTGGTGAGTTCCACGCTGCACGTTCCTCGCTCTCTCTGATTCGCTTCCTATTTTTGTAGCCTGTACAATATACGTTGGGTTCAGTTGCCTCCGACTTCTATACTGTCGTATTTGACACGTCTTACGTGTCATTGCTTACCGACTAGTATCCCAGGTTCCGCCCAACAGGCTATGACCTCTATGGTATTCCTAGTAAAAGCATGCTACCAGACCTAAGCCTTGCATAGGATGTTGAAATGGTTTTCTGCTGCGGATGCACCTAAGCGTAGCATTCGAATTGTCCAAAATCCTCTAAATGCCGGCTTTAAATGAACCTTTATGTGTCTTCCTAGGTGTCGGTCGCCAGCGGGCCCTAATAGAAGCTTTTTCATTAAGTCTGAGCACTAATTACTATACTTAGCAGTTTCCAAAAGCTATCAGTAGTTAAACTGCAAATTAAAAAAAATAAGCTTTCTTATTGTTGACAAAGAACGCACTTTAAAAGTTCTAGGCCCAAGCATCAGACATTTTGCTCTCCACTTACTCGCTCTTCGCCCCATATACTTAGCTTTATTTGGTATACATGTGCCTTTCGCTATTGGCAACACTAGTAGACAGGCATAATGAAAACCAGTTCCTCTTCTTTAACTGCTTTTGCTCGTAAAACACTCGCATTTTCAGCTTTCATTTCACTGGCACGAAAGCTTACCAATGACATAGAGGCGCCTGTCACACTGGCTGGTTGGAGCACCAGAAAGTTTCCATCAGCACTTTCCTTATCTTGGCCACCCGTTTGTCATTTATCTTTTAGCTGGCTCCAAAGCCTACCATGCGTTATGCGTATGGCGGGTGAACGACCAGCTCCCACTGGTTTTTTGTTACTATTCTACTCCTGATTTACCTTATCGCTCTTTGCCTAGGGTGCTAGAACAGCTCTTGCCAGGGAAATCACAAAAGAAATAGTCGGTGTGACATTAGAGTACCAGTTAACATTGCCATCTGGATGAACACCGCCGGCACTATATTTGGAACTAAAAATGGAGAGAAATAAATCGAAATTCATCAAAGAGCTGCACATTAGTGTGCATCTACACATGAGGCATAACAATACCTTAAGTATGAGCAAGCTTAACCACCAGAAGTAGAGTTGTCAAAGCCCAACCAATGTAGACCAAAACGGATTTCATGCCCAAATGCAATTAGCTAAATTTTACTAAATTTTCCCACGCTCATTTCTTTATTATTAGTGGCAGGCTCCTATAGCTCACTGATGTTGGAGACAGAGCCTCATAAATATAGAAAATCGGCTCTAAGGGATAAATCTTGTGATGCTTAGCTAAGTAATGTGTGTATTTTGCAGGCCGAAATTTGTCGACGGATCTGAACGATCCCCTGAGTTACTCAAGTAGAGCTGGTTTATGCGTCCTTGTTGTAAGCTTTAGAAAAGCTTAGAGGCTTAAAACATGCTAAACTCTATTTTACCGGTGGTTTATGTGGCTCAGTATCCCCTGAAAATGGTCTGCTGTGGCCTTCTAACCGTGAGTTAATTGCAAGCTCCCCTGAATTCCCATGTTGATATAATATTCCTTGCTGGATTTCTAGCGTTTTCGCGCAAGATCATCCCTTATTTGCATATATTTGTCATGTATGCCTGCAAAGTGTACTTTTCGGCCACCTGCGCAGTCCGTAGTTGTCGTAGGGTATTACGAACTAATTAGAGCATTTCTGGATAGCTATGCCAATCTAAACAAATGCGCCGCTTCCCTACTTTTTATATTTTCTTTCTTCTGCTTTTTGCCTGAAAAGCAGAAAGCCATTTTTAGCGAAAAATAAAAATGGCCTTATTCGTAGACCATCGTTTAATTGCGAATAACTCGCAAACCACTGCACGTATTGTGTCGCTTTTACGTTCAACGTATTCAGGTGCTAAAGCTGGACCAGACCAGTTAAATATTTTGCTTCATTAAACGGTATTCTAACTGTAGAAAGGCTTTTCCTTTTATCTGAGAATAACTCAGGTTAAAATTTTGCGCCGGAGAGCAATATCAGCGTAAGAAAAGTAGGGCTCTTCAGTGTCTCGCAAGACGAAGAGGAGCAAACTCATTCAATAGTTGTACTAAAACAGTTTTAAGCACAGACTACCTTTGTTCCAAAGACGCCTGTTCCTGGTCAGGGATCCGATTGACCTGGAGGGCTCTATCCCTCAATTTCATGTGGTCAATGCGGCTGAAATTTCTCACTAGGCGAGGATGTCGTGCAGGTTTCAATGTATTTAGGCAGAAAGTGAGGACGCAGTGATCATTCCTACCTAAAGGTGCTTCCACTTGTAGCTCTGCGAAACGACCGTGTTTGGTGATGGCAACATCCAACGTGGAGGGGGCACTCCCGATTCGGCTCCTGGTCGGTATATTGATGTATTGTTCAAGTGCATTCTCATGCATCCAGTCAACCAGTTCCTGTTCCTGCACTTTAATCGCATTGAGCCTGACCGGTGGAAGTACTTACAAGTAATGCCTATCTTTTTGTCATGTTCTGTCGGGTTTGTGTAGCTGCGTGTCAAAATGCATTCGGTCTAGGAGCCTGTTCTACTCGGTGTAGTAACCGCGTTGCGCCTAAGTCACATGGGTGGTACAACTTCGCATTTTGTTGGTCACTTCGTCGTACGTGAAATAGTCCCAAGCCACATTAGTTTGGCCGACTAGGAGAGTTAATACCAGATCGTCAGTATTTGACGTAACCCAGAGGCAGTTCTAACAACGTGTTAGTTCTATGTGATCCTCCGGATATTCAGCGTAACACACAGTTATAAAGTATGGTGACATGCTCGCGTAGTCCCCTTGGGGTGCTTAGAAATGGCCTATCGACCACGAGTTCCTCATTTGTAAGTAGGAGTTAGCTAACGATGGATTGTTGTCAGCGCACCGTCGTGTCGGCAGCGTAGGAAATGTCCTATCGGCCTTTTCTGTGGCTAGCCAACGTTTGTAATCCGACCAGCTCCTGTCGAAGGCCTACTGATGTTGCACTGCAATCCACACCTAAATAACAAATACACTTTGCAAACTTGTTCGAACCCAGCGAACTACACACATTCCTTTTCTGGAGTGACTGTTCCTTCTATGTGCTTTCCTTTCCTTCTAACTTCCATCTTTTCCCCATCTGACAACTATGTCAAAGGCTTCGCTCACAAGGGTCTTCAAGTGGAAGACCCCTGTAGTGAACGTAAAATTTGCTTTATACTTATGTTGCGACACCGGATATTATTACTCAAGTATCAGATTCGGATTCAGATGGACTGGAACGATAGGAAAGTCCCTTGAGTGTTCCTTCTTGAGCAAATCGTTGAACCAGGAAATGTAAGGTACTAGTTCTTGATAGATCTAAAACGAAACACCCGAAACACACTCTGATCAACCAATTACTGCCCACGTTCCCTGCACTAGCAGTCCGCGCTGTATAGGTTACGTGAACTAAGAGAAAAGTTAAAAGTAAATGGAAGATAAAGGGGAGTGAAAGTCATTAAAATGAAGGATAACACCAAAGTGTGAAAAGAATGACAATAAAAACTAAAAGTTTGAAGATGGATATGGTCAGGAGAAGGGAAGTGTTTCGTGTTGCCACCCAAGAGCGTCTAACTGACGCTCGAAACCCTGAACCGTCGGTTCACTGACTACACTTTCTGGAAGCGGGTTCCAGCGCTCGATAACTCTACGCGATAACAGATTTTCCGCCCTGATCCGGTCAGAACGCGGCTTGTGTAGCTTCACGGGATGACCGCGAAGACAAGGCAACCTAGCCGGGCTAAATAACCAGTTCAAGTCCGGTCCTTCCTTCCCTGTTAAAGTGCGGAAGGTAAGGATTAGGTCTCCTCGAAGCCGTCGGTAGTGCATTGAATACATACCCAAGCTAAGTAGACGCTAGGTGTACGATTACCCCCGTAACCCCTCGACCAATTTGGTACCTACTCTCAAAACCCTCTCAAGCTCCATTTTGTCCCGAACAAGGCAGGGCGGGCAATCCTGGACGCAGTATTCCAGGTGGGGCCGGACGAAAGCTGAGAACAGCTTCACAAATATGTCGGCAGTTAAGACCCCGAAAGAACGGCGTATTAAC